GCGGAAGCAGTCCTCAAGGCAAAAGGCATTGAACTTCGGATACGTGCGCGTGGACAGCACGCTACAACGATCGAGGCCAGAAATGGCATCCTACGCCATCTACCTCACGCCATGAAAGCTGAACCCAACAGGCTGGATATACCTCCTGCGCCCGGCTACTGCACGAGGCCTTGTTTGCCGCCAGCGCGTTCACGTTTTATGGCGAGGCGTTGCCATATGGCGCTCTGTTTGGACGGATTGAAACGACTATTACTGGTCAGCACTATAATGATGAAGGGGACTTGGTCGATTGTCATCGCCCCGCGACCACGAAGGATGATTGGGGAGGCTGGAGTGGCCCGTTCCCAGTGGTAAAGAATGATCCCGAGAGGGGTCAGGTCATCATCCGAGTGGGCAATCGAGATGTTCAAATGCAGTACGGCGATGCAATACATTCATTATACATTGAAGCACTGATGGCCCGAGAGTGGCTCCGACAACACTGCGCCGCGGACAGTGTTAACATTCGTAGCCAGCCTATCGGCGGGGAGGCCTGCTCTGACCTTTGGCTATGTGCCGACCAAGAAAGGGGCGCTTCAGATGACGACTGTAAGCCGTCTATCTCCCAAGGTACAGTTAGCGTTGCAGTACCTTATCAGAAACTTCTTCCGCCTTGAGAATGTAGTACCTGTCAGGCTAGCCAGGAGATTTCAGCAGCTCCCTCCGGTTACTTATTCCGACAGTTGCACGTAGGTCCATTGCGACAACGACGTGAATCCAGGATTCCATCATTATGAAGCAGAAGGTACTGCTCTGAATATACACGAACTTATAGGATCAGCACATTCGAGAATTATTCAATGCCTGAAGTCCACTAAACCTCAAGCAGGTTTTCACCAGGACATGTCAAGATTTGAGGAATTGGCAGATACACCGACACCAGGGGGAAACACAAGGGAAGCCTCAGAAGCCGAACCGCCACATGACGATGGGCGGCTTTCTACTTTTCACGAAGAATCAGAGGCTGATCTCGAGTCGCTTGTATTGGAAGTGCGGCATGCAGAACTACAAGAGGAGAAGGAACGGCTTGAGGCAACTCCACCAGAGAACCCCTTTCGCCATACCTACACAGATGGTTCCAGTCAAAGTGTGCTGATCACTGTAGCTGATGGACAGCGGGGACACCTGCCGAAGTGGGGGCGCACTCGCGACTCCGATGCCGAGGAGACGTACTACGTCCCAATGTGCACCATGGTCGGAGACGACAAGTACGGATTGGACTCAGAAGAAAATGGTCGATATGCCGAACTCTGTTTTACGACAGAAATGTCAAAGGTGGCCTTGTCCGAACAGCAACACGTGATACTAGATGCCGACCGGGTGACCACTATGCGAGTATACGTAACCGCCGCTGCAAAGCGAGCTGCGGTCGTCAAGGAAGACGACCTCCTCGCGAAAGCTGACTTCCAGGCGAATCCCGGTCAAGTATCGAAGGCCCTCTACACTGAACTCAGACACGGTTTGACGACATTTGCTTTAAGATGCAAGCTATAGCTAAGGCGTCGAACCTTATGAATTCGACATACGTGCACACATCGAAGTTCGTGAAGAACGAGAAAGGCGTGATGGAACGAACCATCAGACTACGTGTGGTTTTCCGAGGTTTCATGTACCTTGAAGCCTTCGACGTACAAACATGTTCGGGAACAGCGCGACGGCAAAAGCCAGAGGCTACTCGCTAGCACGGCAGCGTGCAGGAAGCAATGGATTATTGTTTCCCTCGACATCAACATGGCCTTCTTGAAGGGACTGACCTAGCAGGAACTTGCTGAGGCCACTGGTGGAAAAGGAACGCGTGGTGTGTTTCACTCTGCCGCCTGGGTCGGTCACAGTGCACCGAACTCTCCCAGGATTCGAGCACTGCGGTGAGTCAAATCACTGCCTACAGTGCTTGAAGCCAGGCACAGGCTCCAAAGACGCACCACGGGCTTTCTCATTAACGCTCAGAGGGGCCACCAGAGGCTTCGGTCTGCGACCCACGTCCGACGACGGGGTTCGAGACGAACCACAACTTGCTCACGGCCAAGCATGTTGATGACATCAAAATGGCCGGCACTGAGTACGCCATTGGCAAGTATGCCAAGTGCGTAGAAGATACCTTTGGTAAATGTAAACCCAACGAGCACACGTGCACCAACTGTGCTGTGAGTTGCACCAGAGCTGGGGACGGCAATGTCACTTCGAACCAATAAGTATACATGAAGCAGCTCCGTCCTAATACAACATCCTGAACTGACCGGCGCCGACGCTGACGCTCAGGCAACCAGGATGGTTGCAGACATGTTCGTCAGCCTCAGGGGTGCGCTGGCGCATGCATTAATCACCCAGGTGCGGTTGATGGTGCATGTTGCTTCTCTACGACGTGCCCAAGAACCGACATACATCCAAGTGCGACGACTGAGCGCGATCACCAGGAAGCTACAGGCCTGCCCAAAGAAGTAGATCGGCTACCAGGCGATGAATCCTACGGGCGAGGTCGACCTGCGTAGCATCTCAGGATGCCGACGCCTGAGTGGAGACGCCGATGACGATGTCAAAGGCTATGGTATTCGCGGGGCAAATCTGCTACGACGTGGAAACACGTCATCCGGTAAGCCTGTCGTTCACTTGATTGATGCGTACTGCAAGTCTCATCGCTTGCAGGCCCGCTCGAGCTATTCAGCAGAGACACTAGCAGCAGCCCATCATTTGGAGGACTGTTATCCCACGATTGTGACTCTGCACGAGCTCCACGCAGGGCCGCTCACGCCCACTCAGTTGACATATATACTTGACTATGGGTGGCCTGAGCATCAAGGTCACCTTGACCATAGATGCTGAGTTTGTTTTTAAGTCCTTGTCAAGCAAAGACGTGAAGAAGCCGACTGAGTGTACCCTTTAAGGACAGATGAGCGTGGAATCGTGCACAGCATCCAGTGGTGCGGCACCCACGATATGACTGCGGATGGTCACGCCAAGAGGAGCATCGACAGAGAAATACTCCTACAAGTCATGGGAGGTACACGGGCCTTCAAGCATGACCTGAAGAGACATACTCCATATCGTGCCGGCCAGACATCAAATTCTGACGCCGCCTGATGAGTACGTCAGGTACAGAACTGTACAAGCGAGGCAGCGTGCGAGCGGGTCCACCTTCCTTTTGGCCCGCTTCCACTTCTGTCCTTGTGTGCATTAGCTGCTGTGCCTGCTGTATAGGGGCGACGGGCTCACGCTTCGTCTCCCTCCCCCCCCCGACTCTACAGCGAGCTGAGGGACGCAAGGAGTGGAAGCAAGCGTGCGCCCACGGCCGCGTCGGCTCAAGCGGCCGGCCGCCCAAATATGGCTGTGCCTCACTGCGAGGCACACAATCGCTATCGAGACCAAAAGGGTCTTCCTATTGCTTAAGATGGCACATTATCTCCTACGGGGACAATCGTTACTACGGTACAGACGCAGCTGGAGCTTGGCTTCGCCTAAGGTGAAGCTGCTGGGTGGGCCTCCCAGCCCCCTTTCAAACTGGCACAGGTGGATACCGAGGCGCGGAATTCGGGCGGCAGCCGGAGTTCCCTCTCGTAAGCCGACAGCCTCGCCCCAGCGGGGGCGCGATCTTTGGGTCCCTCTGGGGGTCCCCTCAAAACGCGGGATGCAATTGGGCTCTAGGACATGCCTAGTAGCTTCTGGATTCGAGCCTCGACGGCTACGGGTCGCTCAACGAGTTCACGTACTAGATACAGGCATGCAGGCATGCATATCTGCACTACTCATGCAAAGTATGTGCAATCACTCGAGTATGAGATCGACTACAGAATTGGTTTACTCCAGAATTCATTCTTTACGTCGGCTCCACGAACGATCAGCAGCATGCTCCGTAGATCCAGTGGGCATTTTGCGTAGTTGTGTGTATAGTCGACGAACAAGCAATTTTAGGAACAAACAATTATATAGTCGATCTCCCATTCGAAGTTTGTGCAATCTCGCGCTGCAGTGGCAACGACATGCTCGTACTGGAACGGGGCTTGCCCCCTCAAGAAAAGCTCCCTTCTAGGGTCCCTTTCGGGCGGGAAAACGAAGGTGGCGCGAGGGCGACCCCAGCGAGGAGGTCGTCGTCGTCGTCGTCATCGAGGTCGAGGTCGAGGTCGACGTCGAGATCGTCGAGGCCGAGGCCGAGTGCGAGGTGGTGAGGTCGAGGTTTGGAGGAAGAGGTCGTGATGACGATGCGTTCCAGGACTCCAGGTTTCCTATTTTTTCGGCGCGGGCTCCAGGGAGCAGGGCCGCCAGATGGTCCCTGGGTTCTTGCAGCGTGTCGTGAGCCCGTTGCGCCGTGACGTTATCGAGGGACCATGGCAAATATGTCGTAGGATGATGTCGACACCAATCTTCGACTACACGTGAGAGTGACCCTTCGCTGGAGTGATTTTTGGTGTGGGCCTATTAAGGTCCCCCGATCGTAGAAGCGATGCGATAGTAGCGTCTTGCGTGCTTGTGTTTGGTCACCCCGCGGCCCCCAAGAAAGCCGCGCAACAAAAGTCACTCTTACCCTGGGTCCCTGGGTCACTCTTGCGCGTAGCCGAGATCTTGTTCATGGTCCATGCTGGCCGTCGCCGATCCGCGAGGCTGCTCCACGAATTGACGCCGACCAAGTTGGGCTGCGTTCAGTCTGGGTCATGGTCCCCGTGACCTTCTCCTCCGTGTCACTCTTGCCCTCCCCGGGAGGCGGACCCCGCCCGAGCCCAGGCCTCCGGCTCCTCCTCGAGGCTCTGGGCTTGCGGCATCGGGGTTCGGTGACGTACGCCCCAGCGGCGTTCGCCACCGTGTGGGGCGATCAAACCGGGCAGATGCAGAGGTGAGGGCGAAGAGGATGGTTTTTTCAGGAGGCGGGGCTGGGCCCCCCCCGTCGCGCGAACGCCTGGACCCCCGTGCCCCTTTTCGGGGCGCGCGCGAGGCCCAGCCCCGAATCCCAGAATCCTGGAAGCCCACGAGAGGCCCTTCTCGGGCGGCGACCGCTTCTCCGCCGTCTTCTTCGCCTGCGCCGGGCACGCCTCGGCGCCGCCCTGGGCGCGCTCGGGCCTCGCCGCCCTCGGCTTCGCCCTGCCGCCCGTGGGCGGCGCGCCGGCGCGGCAGCGGCGCCGGGGCTCGCCGACCCGGGCGGCCGCCGCGGGCGGGGGCGGCGCAGCGCCGCGTGCGGCGCCGCCGCAGAAGCGGCGCGGGGGCGGCGCCGTGAGCAGCGCCGCGGAGGCCAGGGTGATGCTCGGAGGGGGGAGGGCGCGCAGGTGGAGCCGTGGCTTGCCACGGCTCGGGCGCCCCTTCCCTGTGCCTCGTTTGCTTTCGTGCTGTCGTCACGTTTGGGTCTCCGACGCTCATGTCTTCAGGAAGCCTCTTGCGGGGGTCCTGTGAGAGAGCAGGAGGAGAGGGAACGGGATGACGAGGCGGAGGTGGAGCTGGCCTACAGAGGATGCGACGGAAAGGAGGTGAGGATATACTCTCAGACGAACTGAAGGGATGCTCATGTTGGGGTCGTACCTTCGGAGCCACTCTCCTGAGACAGGCCGAGAAGAAGGCACACGTCCGAACGATGCCAAATCAACCCTCGGAGGTTCGCACGGACCTCCTGGGTCGGCGCTGGGTCCCCCTCCTTTGCCCTGGCCCGCGGCGCCTCCGCCTCGTCATCCCGTTCCCTCTCCTCCTGCTCTTTCACAGGGCCCCCGCAAGAGACTTCCTGAAGATATGCACGTCGGGGACCCAGACGTAACGACGAGTACAGGTTTGAGACGACCCCGTGGGATTAAAAACACGGGGTGCGGGAACATATGGAGAGGGCTCCCGCCTTTGACTTTCTTTCAATCCACCCACAGACGAGGTCCCCGCGTAAGATTTCCTCGAGATTCAAGCCTCGGGGGCCCAACAGTGACGACCAACTAATGAGGTGCGGGCCGCATAATGAGGGGGCTCCCGCTTGAGACTTCCTCGCAGTCCACCCACAGACGAGGCCTCTTCCGGGCACGTCCTGAAGATTAAAGCCCCCGTGACCCAACAGTGACGACAATGAACCGGTTTCAGAGGACCCCCTTGGGATTGAAAACGCGATGTGCGGGCACCATAGTGAGGGAGCTCCCGTCTTTACACACACACAGACACACACACACAAACACACACTTACACACACACACACGCACACACACACACACACTTACACACACACTTACACTTACACACACACACACACTTACACTTACACTTACACTTACACTTTCACTTACACTTACACTTACACTTACACTTACACTTACACTTACACTTACACTTACACTTACACTTACACTTACACTTACACTTACACTTACACTTACACGTACACGTACACGTACACTTACACTTACACTTACACTTACACTTACACTTACACTTACACTTACACACACACACATATATATATATATATATATATATATATATATATCCCGGGGGAGCAGGCCGGGGCCCTGAAAACGGCTGCCTCGACCCTCCATGTGGGTACCGGGGTTCATTTTCCCTGTGTTTTTACAGGGCCTCCGCGTCCTGGGCCTCGGAGGCCGCCGCCTCCGACCCCCCATGGGAGGATGGGGCGGCCGGGGAGGTCCAAAATAGTCCATGAGGGCCTCCAGAGGCTCCCAAGACGGCCCAAGCGGGCCCCGAGTCGCCGAAAGACCGCTCCAGGACGGCCAAGATGGGCCCAAGACGGCCCGAGAGGCCCCCCAAGGCACTCCACGACGCTTCAAAACGCCTCTCCAGAGCGCTTCAAGAGGCCGAAATCGTTCAATTTTACTATGGTTTTCGAACGATTTTGGCCTTCCAGCCTTTTCGGCTGTCCGACGTTACAAGACGGCTCAATAGGCCCCCAAGAGCGCGCCAAGACGGCCCCAGAGGGCCTCAAGACGGCCCCAGAGTCGCCCAAGACAGCCCAACTGAGCCCCAAGACGGCCCCAAGATGCGCCCAAGAGGGGGACCACGACTCCAAAATTCGACCCGCCCGCTTGAAGAGTGCCCCAGGAGGCCCCAAGGAGCCCCCAAGAGGCCCCAGGAGGCCCCCAAGAGGCACCCAGGAGGCCCAAACGAGGCCTAAAGAAGCCACAAAACAGCCCCGAGGAGGCCCCACAACGGTCCCAAAACGGCTACCGAGAAGCTGCGAAACTGCCTTCACGACGTCCCTGACAGGCCAACCACGAGATCCAAACCAACACCCATGAGGCCTCTGACTCACCACCCAGGGCACGGTGGCGGGAGCAGTGACAGCACTTGTGCACAGCATGTTCCGGCGGGAGCCTTCCAGAACACGCTGCAGGAGGAGGAGGAAGATCAGGAGTAGAGAGAGTTGGAGTGGGAGGAGGAGGAGGGGGACGAGGAGGACGAAGAGGCCCGCCCCGAAGCAGGCAAGGACAGGCTAATGGAGGTCCCGAGAGGGCCCTAGACGGTCCCAAGAGGTCCCGAAGACGCCCAAGCTGCCCTCAAGACGGCCGACGAGGACTCCAACACGCTCCAGGACGGACTCAAGAGGCTTCCCAAGAGGGCCCTGGGAGGCAAGATTCACTAATTTTCCTATGGTTTTTGAAGGATTTAGGCGTTCTCGCTTTCCCCGCTTTCCAGCGCTCCCTCACGGCCTCGCTCGGAGGCCTTTCAGATCGCTCCAAGACGGGCCACGAGGCCCCGAAGAGGGCCCCAAGACGGCCCAGGAGGCTCCTCAGACAACCCAACTGTGCCCCAAGATTTCCCCAAGAGAGGGCCCAGAGGGGGACCACCAACCGATATTTCGAGGTCTCTGGCCCTAGAGGCCGCCTGTAGGCCCCCGGAGGCCACCACGAGGCTCCCACGAGGCCCCGTGAGGCGCCCAAGAGGCCCCCAGGAAGCCCAAAGGGACCCCCAAGGGGCTCCCAGGGAACGCCCAAGAGGCCCCCCAACACACCCCAAGAAATCATGTCCCCAGAAAACCTTCCGAGGACATGGTTCATCATGGGCCCGAGAGTTCCCGGAGGCCCCCAAGTGGCCCCCAGAGAACGCCCAAGAGACCCCCCAACACACCCCAGCAAACCATGTACCCAGAAAGCCTTCCTGGGACATGGTTTATCATGGGCCCGCGAGTCTCCAGAGGCGTCGAGGCACCATCATGCTACAGGAGAGCTGTCTGGGAAGTTGATTGGGAACATGACTGATCGCCTTCTCGTGGCCCTCCGCAGATCGTTTTGCACAAAGTTGCCCCAAGTGCCCTCTTGAATCGACGACGACGACGAAACGGCGACGACGACGACGACGACGAAACGGCGACGGCGACGACGACGACGACGACGACGACGACGACGACGACGACGACGACGACGGCGCGCCCCAATAGGCAACGACGACAGTACGACGACGACGACGACGACGATGGCACGCCCCAACAGGCTCCCCAAAACGCCCCCAAACCCATGCTCCCAGAAGGCCTTCTGGGAACCCGATTCATACATACGGCCTCCGCCCTCCTACACAACATTTTTCCTCGATGTCCTTTTCGGAATGCAGATGAGCATGCGTGGACTGTGGTCCACTACTTCAGTGGAGCAGTGAATTCGTCAAGGCCTGGGGCCTGCCAGAACCTGAGCGCGCGCGAAGCGCGCGCGATGGTTCTAGTGTATATATACATCTATATATACATGTATATATAGATGTATATATATATACATAATCGCGCACAAGCGAGGACCCCGCCTGAGGCTTCCTGAAGATTCATGCCCCAGGGGCCCAAAACATGACGATAGGTACAGGTTTGTGATGACCCCTTGGGATTCAACACTTGAGGTGCGGGCACCATAGGGAGGGGGCTCCCGCCTGAGACTTCCTCGCAGGTCACTCGCAATCGAGGCCACCACCTGAGAGCTCTGGAAGATGCCATCAAGCCTCGGAAGGGACCCCCAAATACTGTTTCAGGTTCCAGAGGACCCCCATGGATGACAAACGCCAGGTGCGGGTCGCATAGGGGAGGGGCTCTCGCTCGAATTTTCTTCACGTATCACCCACACATGAAGCTCCCGCTCCAGGCTTCCTCGATATGACATATCTAGTTTCTCGTGCGATGGCCGTTCTGGTTTCAAGTGCGGATGTGGTCCGCATTCCCTTCCGTGCGCAGTCTCGGGAGCACGCTCGCTTCCGTTGCGACATTCGCGGCGCAGCAGCTCTGCCGCCCTGGCTGGGCGGAGCTGCTGGCCGTGGCGGGCCTGCTCCTGGCGACCGCCGCCGTGTCCTCGTGTTGCGGGTGTGCGGCTGGGCTGGGGCTCGGCTTGGCCCTGAACCCGCACGGCGCCGAGTCAGTGGCCAGAGCGGGAGGTTGGGCGGCGAGGCGATTTGCGCACCGCAGACGGCATCGACCCTGCGGCGCCTCGCCGGCTACCGCGCGCAGTGAGCCGAGCCATGGAGATGAACGCTGCCCTGACTAGCGTGAAGCTGGTCAACATAGACTCCGTGACCGACGGGAACCCAGACTGGCTTGTGTCACGCGTGGGGTCCCGAGCGCCGCACTTTCGCCGTGATTGTCATGCGGAGGCGAGGCGGCATCATGGTCGCGGCCCCTCGGGGCGCCTCGCCCGACGAGGATGTCCTGGGCCGAGGAGGCCGCCCTGTTTTCGGTGCCCGTGCCCAGGTCCAAACGACGGTGTCCGACGGCGGCCCCGACGAGGAGGAGCTAGTCACGGCCATGCTGGTAGACCTGGAGGTGACCTGGACGCGGCCGCGGGATCGCGGCCCGTATGCCTACGAGGATTCCCTGATGGAGGAGGACGACGACTTCACGTATTACGGTCCGAACGGCTTTGCGTTGCCGCACTGGAACCCCGTGCTGGCGCACGCTCGGGACTGGGTGAACGGCCGCCCCCGAGGTCGAGGCCGAGGAGGCAGAGAAGGTCGTGGCGCGGGCCGGCGACGGCAGAGCCAGCGCCAGTGCCAGCGTCGGGGACCCCATGCAGGAGGTGTTGCGGGAGCTCCGGTCGCTGGGCGGCCGCCTGGCCACCCTGGAGAGCCAGGGGCCCGCGCCGCCGCCGCCGCCCCCGCCGCGCGCTGAGGCGGCGCCGCCTGAGCCGGAACGGGGGGCTCCGGCGGCGGCGCGGTCGCTCGCGGGCTGCCCTCCACGTCGGCTTAGAGGAGGGCCTCGGAGGCGTGCCGCCGCCCTGTCTGCGGCGCCGCGTGGGCCCAGCTGGCGGCCGCCGATGGCCGCCGTGCCCGAAGACGAAGAGGCCGACGACGCGGATGTCGAGGTGGGCGCCGAGGCGGGGCTGGACGCCATGGGCATGCGGACGGCCATCGCCCTGCTGCTCCAGGAGCAGCTGCGTCGCGCGCATGAGGAGCGACGGCTAAGAGCGAAGGCGAAGAAGAAGCACATCGCGGGCGTCGACGACTTCGGCGACGGGGGCGAGGACGACTCGGCGGGATTCGAGAAGCTCGCGACGACGCCGGGCGTCAAATATTCATCAGCTCGAGCGGGACGTTCGCGCAGCCCCATGGAAAAAGCCCGGAGGCGTTCGCCACCCGGGCGGAGGAGAACATTTTGAAGGCGCCGGAGGTGGAGAGGACGGACTCGCTCGGGGCGCGGAAGTACGCGAACGAGATGGCGCCCGTGGGGGCCCAGCGCGCGGCGGGGCGCGCGTCGGCGCCGCTGGCTCACATCCACGGGGCGCTGCGCAGCAAGAAGTACGAGCGGGCGAGGATGCTGACGCCGTTGGGGGTCAGCGCGGCCGGGCAGGTGTCCCGCGACGAGAAGTGGCAGGCCGCCCAGCGGCCGGCGGGCCTGGAGACGCCCAGTTGGGCCGAGCGATTATGCCAGAACGTGTGCCAGCTCTGCGGGGAACGCAGTCGAGCACGCACGATAGACAAGGTGCGGGTCGCGACCATCGTCGCCGAACGGAAGGGCGACGACTACCCGATAAAGAGGCGGGGGCATCATGGAAAGCCCCCAGGGGAGGAGCCAGAGGATGGAATGCACGACGGGAGGCAGGGCTGGGCCGGTAGTTCTGCTTCGCGCTGCCCGACAGTGGCGGGCGCGAATTCGACGGGCGGGGCCGCCGCTCGCTCGGTGAATCTTGCGCGCGCAGACGCCGCCCACCTTCGCAATGCATGGTGGTGGCCTTTTTTTCCATGCCCGCCGTCTCCCCCGTGGCCGACAGCGACGAGATCGGTGGAATTTCGAGGGCGCCCGCAGCGCGGGCGCAGCAGCCAGGCGGTCTAGGACCTACGAGTGAGTGAACCTGCAGGTGCCGGTCCTTTCGCGCTTGTCGCTGGGCGGCGCGGCCACCTGGGATCGGCGCGCCGCCCCGCGGGAAAGTCGGCGAGTGGCGGCGGCAAGGAAGGGGCGGCAAAGTCCGCTGTGCGAGAGTGGGAGACAACGCTGGACAAGCTGGGGTGCTGGCCACGCGGTGCTGCTGATCGAGTTTTCGGCTCTGGCAGGACCGCGGCGCCGTCTCTGGCGGCGGCAGAGGTGGGCTTCCCCCGAGAGGTCAGCGGCTTTTGCCCACGCCCCTTCCTGTCGGAGGTGAATCGGGACGCGCGCGAGCGGCCGAAAGAGTGTCTGAAGGCGGAGGGGGGGCGGATGCTGCTGCCGCCCGCGAATGACACCGCCGCGCGGTCGGAGCTGCTAAAGATGGCCGAGCGCCGGGGCGCCGCGGGCCAGCTGCGCCTCTTACGAACCGCGCAGGCGGGCGATCGAGGCACCGCGGAGCTGTTCACTGCGACGAAGAAGGAAGAGCACCTGGCCGACGGCACGGGGGCACCCGCTGGGGGGCTGGAGCCGTCGCCTGCCGCTCGCAGTGCTGATGCGCGGCCTGCCCCCGGGGCAGGGCCAGGTGGCGGTTGGCTCAGTCGACGATCTGGACAACTACTTCCGCGCGTTCGCCGGGGCCGCGGACGAGAATGCCCTGCCGCAGCCCGCGGGCGAGGCTGTGCCCGCGCGGCTGCTCCCCCACCTGAAGGCGCACGGCGGGCGCTCCCGGGGCGACGAGCCGGTGCGCCTCTGCTTCCAAGGCTTCAGCATGGGCGACCATCGCGCCACGGATCTGAACCAGGAGGTGTTGGAGCGCCGCGAGCCGCTGCCCTTGGCCTCGTCTGGCTACTAAGAGGGCGCGATGATCGACGATCGCGTGGGCACCCAGCTGGGGCCTCGACCCACTTGGCGGAGCTCTGCGGCCCAGATCCCGTTGCGCGACGCCGAGGCGTTCGCGGCCTCGGGCGACGCCTGTGCGGCCCGCGGCCCCCGGCGGAACCCGAAGAAGGCCAGCGGGCGGGAGGTGGTCTTCACAGGCTGGGTCGGCGAGACCGAGGGGGGCGCAGGGCTGACGGGCCCGCCTCGCGGCGCGCTGCTGGCGCTGACGGGCGCGACCGCGGGCGCGGCGGCGCGCGGCCCGGCGCCCGGCGCCCGCGAGGCTGCTGGAGAAATTCGCGGGGAGCTGGGGCTTCTTCCAGCAGCGCAGGCGCTGCCTTCACAGCTGGTTCGACGCAGTGCATGAGGGGGCCAGCCCGAGCGGGGGGCCGAAGGAGGTTTTCCATTTGTCCGCGGCCGCGCGGAGCGAGCCCACGCGCGCGGGCGTGGCGGGTTCCCTCTGCGCCTCCTGCGCGCGCGCTGAGCCGCCGGTCGAGATTTCCGGCGCGGATTCTTCGCCTTCCGCGTCGGGGGCGCGCCGAGCTCGGCTCTCCGAGTGGGCCGCGGCACAGCTGTGGAGGCGCCGCGATCGCGCAGACTGCGCGACCTCCCCGCCGCGCCCGACCCAGGCAGCCACCCGCGGGCGGGGAGAGGAGGCAGACGCGAGCAGCGACCCAGAGTCGGAGTTGGATGGCGCGCCGACACCGTTCCAAGCGTTGGGCAAAGCTGCCCTTGATCAGCGCGCTGATCAACGTGCCGCAGGCTTCCCAGGGCCCCCGCGGGGCCACCTCCCCTTGGCGTTCGGTTTCCTGGAGCTGCGTGGGAGAGGGGGCCCCTCAGTCATGCCTGGGCTCGCGAGAAGGTTTCGTGGCGGGCCCGATCTTGGAACTGGAAGAGGGTTGGGACCTGCTACGGAGCGACGTCTTTGCCTGGCTGGTGTTCATGCTCACCCGCCAAAGAGTGGCGTTTGGGATGGGTGCCGCCGCGCATTGCGATGAGCCCGGCAAGATGCCCGCGCCTTCGGGATCGGATGGCCCCGCGGGGCTTCGGCGCGCAGGAGTTTCAGACCCTGGAAGGCAATAGCCGCGCGCTCCAGAGCATGTTCTGCTTGACCTTGTTGCAGACCTCGGTGGGTGGGCGATTTTTTTTTGGGGGGCAGCCGACCTGGGGCATGATGAGGTTCTTCCCTGTGTGGCAACTCTTGGAAAGTCTGGGATCGTCGCGCACGGCCTCCGATTGGTGCAGGCGTGGGAGGGCTTGCCGAACGCTGACGGTCTTGCTGCGCAACACCTCCTGGCCCCCCTCGCTCGGTCGCCGTTGCCCACCGCGGGTCTGCCGCGACGCGGGCCTCTTGCTACAACTAGTTTTTTGTTGCGCCATGGCCCAGTTGGCATGGCTGGAGCGGGGCAGCTGCGACGCCTTCCTGAGCCAGGCCCAGGAAGACCGACCGTGGGTCTACAGGCGCCGCGCACCTCATTCGCGGGCAGTTTATCCATCAGAGCGCATGTCTCGGAAGCACATGCCACATAGCAAATTCCAGCGCCAGAGCCACAACAACACGTTGGATTGCCAGGTGCGTCGAAGTCTCAGAAAGCGCCTCCCAGCCAACAGCAGACCCGCGATCGGAATATATACCAATGTGCGTATGGGGGCGGGGGCCAAAGGCCACAGCGCATCTTTGATTCTAGATTCCGCGAAGCGCGCGGAGAGAACTTGCGCGTTGGGCCGCGACCTGCGCCCGCAGTTCGCTCGCCCCCCCACCTGGAGCACCCGCGCGGATTGCACAACGGACGGCGAGCGCCCGCCCCCCTCGCTGGCGGCAGCCACGGCGGCTGGCGCAGCTCTTGGCGCGCGGCCCTGAGACGGCGCGCGGTAGGCTGGATGGCTGCGACCGCGCCGCGCGGCCCTGGCCCGCTGGGCTTCGCTAGCTCGCCTGGGCCTCGGCGCGGGCGTCGCCGGGCTGGGCGGCTCGACCCCCGGCGCCCCGCGTCCGAGAGAGGCGCGGCCTGGAGCGGGGCAACGTCTCGGCGCGCACGGCCAAGCGACGGACGGAGCTGTTGACTCTTCGTGGCCCGGGCGGCGCCGCGCCTGCCGGGCTGGGCGCCGCGCGACTTGGCGACGCGACGACAGAGCGCCTTCTCCATGTTGGTCGACGAGTTCGCGCTGTAGGCCTGCGTCGCAGGCTGGTCGAAGTCGCCGGCGTCCGACGCGGAGCTGGCGGCGCGCGACGAGTTCCTACGGCTGCGGGACATGTTGGGCGGCGCTTGGCGGGACCTGGAAACCCGCGCCAACCTGGGGCCGCCCGCGTCGCACCCTCCGCGCTCACAGATACTGCTTCACGCGATGGTGGTTACAGCGCCGCCGTGAAAGCAGCGGCAGATTGCCGCCCGGCTCTCGAGCGGCTGCTACGCCACGCTACGGCCGCGCGAGTACTTAGGGCTGACCTGGGACGAGTTGGTCCTCCCGCAGGCCCACGCGGGCGGCGAGGTGATATCATTCGGGCGGAAGAAGCCAAGACCCATCGGCGAGGGGCTCGCCGTCGACGCGCGCGTCTCAACGAGCCCATCGCAGTTGCGTTCTTGGTCGCATGCGCCGCGAGGCGCAAGGGCTCCGAGATGATCTGGAGCAGCTCTGGCTCGGGCTTCCGTCGACGCCTTGATGCTATACTACGACATGCATTTACTGGACCGGGTGCTCCCATTGTTCTGCCCTCGCCCCTGCGCCCGGGGGGCGCCGCGTATTTCTTCGAGAAATGGGGCGAGGATGCCGATCGGTTGCAATGAAGAGTCCGGTGGGCCAGCGTCAAGATGGCGAAGTATTGCGCGCAGGAGTTGAACGCCCATCGGCCGTTGAGAGACATGCGGAGTAGAGTATTCGCGAAGACAGATACCCGGAATTCGTTGCTTGTTTCTGCGCTGGTCGACTACATGCCCCTTGTCGTGGAGGGTGGGTTCGACGTTTGGGTCGCCTTGTGGAAAGTTTGTGCCTGGCGGCGCGCTCCCGCGTGAAAGCCCCCCCTCGCCCCGGACATATCGTGGGAAAAAGGGGGGCCAGTGGGCTCGCTGGCGCAACGACATTCTGCGTCAGTTGCAGGCTGCTGCGCAGCCACAGGCATTCCTTGAGTCGGATGAACAATATATGATATCGGTATCGATTTAGATAGATACGGCCGCTTCGGGACGCTCATATTGCGTCGCTGCGCGACGGCTCCGAACGGCCCCAATCAGAGCAGCAATGAAAACTATTGTTTACCGTGCGATGTCCGTTTAGATTTCGAATGCATTCCGCCTCCCACTCCCATCAGCGGGCTCGCCAACGCAACAATGATCTGCGTCAGTTGCGGGCTGCGATGCAGCTGCAGGCTTTCTTGAGTTGGAAAAAAGGTATGTGACATATACGTATATACATTTATATACAGTCGTTTCGCGACGTCTAGATTGTGTCGCTGCGCGACGGCTCCGAACGCCCCCAGTCAGAGCAATAACGGATACGTGGATGTGTCGGTGTGTGATGCAATGCATTTTGTGTGGGCGCGATGATGGTGGTGATGATGGTGATGATCGTGATCATGATCATGATGGTGATGACGGTGATGTTCAAGTTGATACTGGTGGCAATGACGATGATGATGACGATGGCGATGACGATGAGGGCCCGTTCCAGTGCAACCGCGCAGCGGATGGTGATGAGAACGATGGTGGTGATGGCGATGCTGACGATGACGATGATGTTGACGATGGCGATGACGATGGAGATGGCGATGGTGGTGGCGATGCTAATGATGACGACGATGATGATGGTCATGATAATGATAACTATGGATCGCCGTGGTCGTATGATGCGAATAATGATGGTGGTGACGATGACGATGAGGTGGTGGTGATGATGAGGATGGTGGTGATGATGGTGATGACGGTGTGATGATGAAGATGATGATGCGCATTATGATAATGATGATGGTGAGCATGATCATGATTATGGTGGTGGTGATGATGGTGATGGTGGTGGCGATGGTGGTGGTGATGGTGCTGGTGGTGATGATGATGACGTTCATGAAGGTTTGGGTGGGTTTGAGGACGGCGCGGGGCGCTTACTGAAAACAAGAACCCCAAAGGATGTGGGGAAGAAACACATACGAGACCACACAGGGCACGGGGAGTGCGCGTCCGAGTTGCGGCAAGTGGACGCCGATGCCGTTCTCCATTCTCGAGGATACGGGCGCTGGAACGCGGGAAGGCGGGGGGGGCGCGGGCGGTCGGGGCCGCCGTTGGCGCATGCGGCGCCCGGACCGGCGCCGGCTGACCACCGATGCGTCAGTCGGTGGCGCAACAGTGGCCGCGCGCGCTCACGGGGACTGGCGGGAGACAGTCTCCGGAGTTCGGTCGCCATGAATCAGAGGCGCGTGGTGCATACACTACGTCGTCTGTTTGGCCAAGGATCGAGTGATCTAAGGGGGGGACTTCGGTGTAGAGAGACGCCCCCACATCCCAGAGCTTGGGAAGCCGAGGCATGTGTATACCGAGTTGCCTGAAGAAGCTTGAAGTGTACACACCCCAGCTTCCCACATGAAGCATGTTGGTCCCAGGGGGAACGGGTCCGGAGGTTCTTCGACGTTTTTGGCCTCTCCGAGACTCGGAGAAACGATTCAGCACGAAAAGTTGTCTTGAAGGAAAGCACCAGGATCCAGGATCCAGTCCCGATGGCAACATGCCCACAGTGCCACGCTGTGGGCGGTTGGTCTTTTGCACGTGCCATTTTTAGATCGTACATTACCGAAGTTTCCGTTGGTCTTAGATTGAATATCTATCGCCGAATGGCGCCCAATGTCGCTCAGTAGCGCCAAATAGGGTCCAACAGCGCAGCGCCGAACGCCTCTCAGTTGGCGCCCAAAAGCGACCAATAGCGCCATGCGAGGGCATTCTGTCGGCGTTGCATGCGATTAGACGCGGCATTGGGCAATATGGGGACGACCAAAAGCTTCCCTGAGTTGATCTATCCATCTTTGCCGTAAGTACACCAGCCGCCCTCGTCTACGACGGCACGCAAGTGCGTTGCGCGAGTACGGCAGGTTCGCGCCCCCTTCACGGGGTGGCGATCCCAGCGCTGACGTCCAGGCGTTCAAGGTCAACCGCCAGTGTTCCGGAATCGGCTGATACCGAGCGATTTGCGCTATCGGATATGGTACCCGCATGTTGCAGATGATGAAGGTGATCCCCCCCTTCACCCCTTCTATCTGATTATCCACGGGGTGTACGTGGGTTCAAATTGCCACAAGAGGCGGGGGGGGGGAATGTTGGGCGAGATGTATCATCAACCCAAAAGTTCGCATCGTCGCTCTGATCGTCATATCACGCATAGCACCATTCCCTCTTCCTTCTCCTCCTCCCTCTCCTCGTCCTTTTCCTCTTCTTCTGTGACTACACTCCTCTCCTTCATCCCTCCGTGCCCCGCCCGAACGTTTTACAATCTGCACACAGCAACCATGAGTACTCACTCCTGCGAGGCCCGAAAGTTTGAACGGTCTGGGAATATCCTCCTCCTTTTACGTGTTCTCTTCCCTCTACTCGTCCTCTTCCTCCCCTCATGTGACTGCTGCTCCTCCTACCTCTACTCCTCTTCTCTGTCTCGTCCTCCTTCTCCTCCTCATCCTCATCCTCATATCCTTCCTCTCTCCGCGCCATCCAATATCTCATTCAGACATCCCAACATCGATATCTCCAGGACAATGTGATTATCCTCCCAGGAACCCGAACTTTATGATCCTCACGGTGCAATTCTCAGCGGCATAGGGTACAGGCTTGTGGCTTCGGGTTGCGCACAGACAGTCCCTTCAGGTAGTCCCAACTGGCCTTCACAGGCCCCCCAGAAAGTCCCAGCTGGCCTCAACGGTCCCCCCCCGTAGTCCTGGGGTCCCGTTGAGGCCCTTTGCGGCTACTCGGTGGGCCTGTTGAGGCTTGCCAGGACTACCTGGGGGCTTACCAATCGGAAGGCCTGGATCGTTTAGTGTTGGACGATTCGCGTGGGGTCGGAGGCCTACGCGCGGCTGGTCACGACGCTCCAGGCCTCAAGATTGGGGCCAGAGTAGATGGGGTTGGAGGATCGCGTTGCACCGGCGATGCGGTACGGTCCGGAGTTCAACCTTCAACGTCCCGATGTCTCTGGTGCGTCGGCGGTGCGGCGCGATGCGCCGACCCCATCTGTGTACAGCCGACAAGATGACACAGGAACCATTTTGGGCTTGGACAGGTCTCCAGTGTTGGGCCGTTCCTGAGATTCAAGTCGGGGAGTTTGTTTTTGGCCGATGCTACCGTGGTCAGGAAACATTTCGTTCCGTATTCATAGTCCTTGATAGTACCACAATTTTTACGTTTTTTCTGTTAGCACGGTGACTGTTTCAGAAATCTGAGCATTGTTTTGAAACACTTGGGAGGACGACGACCATGTGGAAGCCCGTGTGGTCTGTCTTGAGAGTATCTCTGGGCTTGGCTAGGCCCCCCCAAGAGGCCACCGCAGCGATCCTTCTGCCCAGTCTCATCGACGTTGGTATATCCGTGGTCGAAGACTGACCTAAACCGGTTTAATCCCGCATAATCTTGCTCGAGCTTAGGCCCCTTAATGGCCACCATTCGTTCTTACGAATGCCCCCCAGCCTTTTCCCCCTAGCTTATGGCAGCACGGTGGGCGCACCCCGAAGCCCCACTCGGGATGCCTCCAGGCACGGGCTTGCCGTGGCAAGGGGGTCGCCCTCGACGAATCCGCACTTTCCTGGGCGGGGTGTGCTACGGGGCCCCAACCGGTGATGAATGGACGGTGTGGGTTCGATGCGCCCCCCCTTGGGCCTAGCTGGGCGGGGCTAGGACAGGGATGTGCCTGGGCCCCATTTCTAGGGCCGCCACGAGGGTGCGAAGTTGTTTGCGCGTCGCGGTCTGGGCGATGTCAGAGCACGAGCGAGGGGCGGGCGGGGGGGGGGGTCGGCGCGAGAGCGCGAAGTTGTCGAGGTTCGAGGAGCGCGAAGCGCGAAGCACGAAATCAGTTGCCGTAGGGTTCCTTCTGTTCCGATGTTGTCCCTGTCCTGGCTCCGTCGTAGAGGCCTTGGCCCTCCTCGGAGGGGGCGCGGGGCGCCCGCAGCCGCGGGAGCGGGCGGCGCGCCCTGCCAGGGGGCTCCTCGCCCGCTCTCCCGATCGCCCGCAGGGCCACCTCCAGGGCCGGCTCGCGGGGATCCCGGTTTGGAGGAGGAAAAGGTACCCATATCGCTACCTTCGCCAGGTTTCGCCGTTTCGGGCCTCCTCGGAGGCCCTCGTCCCTACCGTTGGATTCGCCCCGAATTTCTGGTCAGAACACACCCCGGGAGCGATCTGGGAGTAGCAGTATGGTTACCTTTTGGTTTCCCCAGTCTCGGCCTGCTTTCGGACGTTGCGCCGTGGGGGGATTTTTTGATTGCGCTCCGATTCGCCGAGAAGACGGTCAGCTTAGTGCGGCACTCACTAGCTGCAGACGCTGGCTGTGACAACTGGGAACGATGCAACACTGCGTACATGCTGCACGGGCGCCAAGGTTTGGTGAATCTCCCCGCCCCCGTCCTGTCCCTACCCCCCCCCCTCTCATCGTCTGAAGGCGCTCAGGGTGCATCACAACGCCGCAGGAGGAGGGAGGAGGCAAGAGGAGGCATATCAAAGAGGGGAGCAGGTGAGATGGCCTGCGACGGGCCGAAAGCCAGCTTAGTGGGCTGGCGCAAGGCAGGGGCCTGCGGGAGTGCACGATATTCGCACGCTCGACCTGCGGC